AAGAGGCTTTGTAGATCTTGGACTAAACTCAAAATCTATGGTTGCAACAGCTCTTGGCTTACATCTACGATGACATCGTTTTCTCATCTTTAACATAATAGAAGATGAGATTGAAGCAGCTCGTCTTACGTACCAGCCGGAGGAGAATGATATTGTTCTTTGGAGACAAAGAAGTGATTAATACAAGCATCACTTCAGTACATGTGAAACTTGGGACCAGATTTGACAATTGAAGCCAGCTGTTCTAAGTGTGGTTTAGTCACAATACCCCCAAGTTTAGTCACAATACCCCCAAGTTTGCATTCTAAGTGTGGTTTAGTCACAATACCCCCAAGTTTGCATTCTAAGTGTGTATCTCGATCCTCAACAGATTGCCAACTGGTGATCGCATGTTAAGTTGGAACCCTTAGCTATACACTTCATGTGTCTTCTGTCTACACCCACTGGAAAGCAGGGACCACCTGTTTTTCGACTGCCCCTACACATCGCAGTTTTGGACTACTCTTGCTAGAACACTACTTGGCGATCCATTTACGTGCAACTGGGAGGACATACTTGCTTACCTAACTCACCATATGTGGGATCTTCTAAGGGGTTTCACCATCAAATAGGAAACATGGAGATAATCGATCAACGCCAGAGCAATTAATAAAAATCATAGACAAGGGTATGGAGAATAGATTTAACTCTATTCATCTACAAGGGGACTAGAAATATGAAGATGGTTGTCAGCTCTGGATTGCATCAAGTTCACCAACCTAAGTTTTTCTCAGTTTTTGTAATGCTTTAGCTCCTTAAAAATTTCGAACTCTGCAAACATCCTAGATGTAAAAATGTTTTTTTAACATTCATTAAAAAAAAAAAAATAATTCAATTCTGTTAACCTGGTTTAAGGGGTGTTTGGATTCGGGTGTGCTTGAGAATAGGATAATTTTTAAGTTTTTATTTGAAGAATGGGTAGTTTTAAGTTTTTATTAGTTTTTGGGTAGTTTTGGTGGGGCCATATTTTCAAAACCCCAAAGTTACCCTTGTGTCATAAAGAGAGATAGAGATTGAGAGATATGTCTTTTAGAGAGAGACAGATACAGAAAACCACGTAGTCCCAACAAAAAGTGTCTACACATGCTTATACACCCAGAAATAAATATATTTTTTCTCTTTCTCTTTACTACTTTTATGAAGAAAAAAAATAATTATTTTCTCTCTCTTACTTTTTTAGAAAACTCCCTCCTCAAATCTTTGATCATATATTTAATTGAATGAGTTGGCGAAATAGCTCAAAATCGACCTATAATAAATATTATAGGTCTAAAAGATCTAAAATAACTAGAGTAACTTTATAATTTTCAAAAACCCAATTATATCCTTAAAAGCATTTGGTAGGAATAATGTAATAACCAAAATGCTATTACTATTTTGGCGCCACGTATGCAAAAGTTGCGTTTATTTACAATTCGACCAGCGTTTAACTACGAGTTGTGCCACGGTAGATTTATTGGTCGATTTTGTAAATCTGTCACGCTATTGATGATAGACTTGTGACTACGATAGAGTTGTTTGCGTGTGACAAACTTATCGTTCTATATAGTGACAAATTTAGAACGAACGATAGATTTACTTGACAGACTTATTTTTTGGTAGACATATTTAGTTAGATTTTATTTTTATGGTGAGATTATTGTTGGTGCTACAGATTTCCAAATTTTTTGGATAGATTTATGTCTACCTAATGACAGATTTACTGAAAAACGATAGAGTTTTGGATAAGAGGTGACAGAGTTATAAAAAACTTAATAATTACTATAATTGCTTTCTAGTTGTGACAGATTTATTTGAAGAGACGACAGATTTTGTTTTCGAACGATAGATTTGTGTTGGAATGACAGTTTTAATTTCTGTTATGACAGAGTTGTTAATTTATTATAATTACTCAACTAACATTTTAGTGGTGGCAGACTTATATGATATTGGTGCCAGAGTTATACATATTTGGTGGTAGATTTGTTGTTTTATATGTAATGGTGGAAGATTTATTTAGAAAACTACGTAACAGACTTATAATTTACTAGACTAGACTAGCCTAGCACGTAACGTCAGTTTTGCGATGATAGCTTTAGTAATTCTGTCGTCAAAGAGTGTATAATAGATGTTAAATGAGCTACATTGACTTGCCTAATACGTGTTTCTTCGAAGGTTTGTGGTAGATTCGAATTGTAATAAATCGTTTGTTATGTGGTGTTAACTTACAAAATAATTCACGTAGTGGCAGATTTAAAGTCATTTGATGGAAGAGTTATTTAATTGATATAGTTGTTATTAATTGTTTCTTTTCTCACTCTTAGTGGATTTTGGGTTTCTGTTGATCAATTACAAGGAGGTACACAGGAGGTACACATTCATTTGATAGAAGAGTTATTTAATTGATATAGTTGTTAATAGTTGTTAACTTAGCAATTTTTTCTTAACTAACATTACGTACTCTTCTCACGTGCCTTTGTTAACTCAGTTATGTACTCTTCTCAGTTACGTACTCTTCTCACGTGCCTTTCTTAATGTGTCCTCGTTTTCCTTTTAAACAAAACAGAAAGAAACAATGAAATCTATTTCTTTTGTGGCAATAGTGACGATCATGATTCGTGATTTGATGAAACAAGCTTCCTCAATTAGGCTTCTTAAAAAATGAAACAGAACTTTTTTTACAAATCTAAGCCCATTTACATCAATCTTGAGCTATACCGATTCTGCAAAACTATACACATTAGTTGATCACATTTTGGCCTCTCTATTCTTCTTTGGTCTCTCTCATCTTTAGTCTTTACTATAGCGAACATCATATGATCCGCCTCCACAATCTTGTAGTACCAAATACATTGAAAAAAAACTCTTATCTTCACTGAATCTTCAAGAGGTTATCATCCAACCAAAAATGTAAGAAAACTAGAACGGGAGACAATATGAGTCACTACGAACAATGAATCATGAATTTTTCGTGAAATTAGATAATGGCATTTTTTGTAATGAAACAAAAAGAAAATGGTGTATAAGAGTTTGACCATGAATTTTAAGTTGAGAGTTCACCTATGTGTTATTTTAGTAAATACACTACTTTTCTAAGTTGTTTGAGGTAATTTTCCTATTTAATTCTAAACAATGAATCAGATTACAACATATACATATAAAAATTATAATTTTTTTTTCTACACATATAGAAATTTAAATTTTTTTAAAAAGATATTATTAACATGTATGTGGTGTACACCTAGACGTGTACACCTATGCAGTGTACATCTATGCGGTGTACATATATGCGGTGTACACCTATGCAGTGTACACCTATGCGGTGTACACTTATGCAGTATATATGTATGTGTGGTGTACATAAATGTTGTGTATTCATATGTGATGTACGTGTATGCGATATACATATTTTAAACCATTACAATTGAAATAAATTTTTTGCTAATTGGTGTACACAACACATGTGAAAGAAGTGTACACATCATTTAGGATACTAAACACACAAAAGAGATATTAAACCGTTAAAGAAAAACATAAATTATAACAATAGTACCAAAATATAAATGTAGAAATTTATACCCTAAATGGATAATAGTTAACCCAAATTGAATCACGTATATTATGGCTACCATATAGAACAATCAACTATAGAAATTTAAACCCTAAATAGATACTAGCGAACCCAATATTGAATAACATAAACTCTAAACCTTAAATAAATAATAAACCTAAACCTTATCCTAAACCCTAAAAATAAATAATAACGTAAATCCTAAACTTAAACCTTAATCTCAATCCAAATTGAATAACATAAACCATAAACCTTGATGGATAATATACAACCAATTTAGGATACTAAACATGTACACAAGAGGGATATTAAACCGTTAAAAAACATAAAGTACAACAACTGTAACAATATATAAATGTAGAAATCTATACCCTAAATTGGTAATAGCGAACCCAAATTGAATCACGAAAAATTTTGCTACCATATAGAACAATCAACTATAAAATCTAAATCCTAAACGGGTACTAGTCAGAGGCGTGCTTACTATATAGTGAAAAAGGCCGTCGCCTCGAGCCCCCAATATATGTAAATTTTTTAGGGCCCCTATTTTCAAATAAGGTGGTTAAATGTTTTAAGGTTTGTTTTCTTATTTTTGTTAATTAATTATAGAATAGATAAAAAAAGAAAAGAATAGATTTAGGAAATTAATTAAGATTACGTTCTCCCAACAAGTTTAGGAAATTGATTAAGATTTGCTTATAATATTTTAAAATAAGATCAAAACCTTAAAGCCCAAGAGAAGAAAAAAAAACCCTAAATATGAGTAATGGTAATTTGGTCATTTTTTTTCACCCTAAACTTAAAGATTTCGGCCCCTTCCCTATATAAAGGCTAGCCACCTTCTTCTGAGAGACACAAAGAGTTAACGCAGTGAAACTCTATAAAAACCTTTGCAGTATCAGTTTAAAATTAGTCTGAGTGAGGGTTTTGCTGAGTCGTTTACCAGCAACTCAGATCGAGCTAAGTGTTGATCTTCATACCTCTGAAAAGATCTCGCTGCAAGGAATCCATAGCAGTTTGCAGATCATAAATCCGAGGTAAGCCCCGTTTTTTACGAGAGCTGAAAGTTGGCGAAAAATCATTTTTTCTGCAAACCCAGAAAATTCTGCAAATCTGATTTTTTTTAGTTTCACAGAGCCAACTTGAGAGAAGTTTATTTAATTTTAATAAAACAAATTTTAGACAATAAATGAATATTTAATGAGTTTTATTCTTATTAAAAGCCGTTAAGTGCTTGTAAATCAAGCTAGGTTTAAACCGCAAGATTATGGTGTTTTAAACTTCTTCAAAATTTCAGAGACATCTTTACTTCACCTTTTTTATTCTTTTGTTTCAAATATATGTTCTATATATTTTTCTATGAGAATTTGATTTGTTATATTGTTTATTTTCATCATTGATTTTAGAAAAGATGCCTCCAAGAACGTATCCAAGTGGAGCAAAAAAGAGGCAAAAAAAACAGAAAGACGAAGCATATTTGAGATCAGTGCAAGGTTCCATTCACAAGTTTCTTATCAAACCTTCAACTGGAAACCCTACTGAATCTGTGAGAATTGATGATGAGTTTGATGATCTAATGGGAGATGAGAATAAACAAGATGCTGAGAATGTTAATAGAGAAGATGAGAATATTGACATAGAAGAGGATGAAGATCCCGGTGAAGAAGAGAATGAAGATGTGAATGATCACGAGAATATGAATTTAGATTCAGAGAATGCTGAATTTGCAGAGAATCAAAGGATTTTAGATATTTATGATCCTGGAAACTGGGGAAAAATTGAGTCTGGATTCAGAATTGTCATGGTTGAAAAAAATCCTGCTGCAAGACAACCAATTGATTTTATTTTTCCAAAGCAGAAGGCTAGTGGTCGACATTTCTCTCATTCGTACTATATAAAAACTTTGAATAATGGGAAAAAGCAGGACAGGCGTTGGCTCGTTTATCAAAAACCTTAGATAAAATCTTCTGTTTTTGTTGTAAATTGTTCACCCGAGACCAAAATCCTAGTCACATGACACCACGAGACTAGTCGTGAACATATCAAATGCATGAGCCAGTGGATGGAATTTAAATTGAGGCTGCAGAAAAACCAAACAATTGATAAGCATGTGCAACAAGAACTCTACAAAGAGAGGAATCATTGGAAAGATGTGATGATTAGAATTTTTTCGTTAGTAAAAACACTTGCTAAACAAAATTTAGCATTTCGTGGGTCAAACGAAAAGTTAGGAGTAGATGGCAACGGAAATTTCTTGAGTTTCATTGATTCGATGGCTGAGTGGGATCCAGTAATGAGAGAACATGTTCGACGTTTTGAAGATGGAGAATCTCGCTATCATTATCTCAGCAATAGAATTCAGAATGAGTTGATAGCAATGATAGCTGGTGAGATCAAAGGTATGATCATAAAAAGGATTCAAAGCGCGAAATATTTTTCTATCATTGTTGATTGTACTCCAGACATTAGTCACCATGAACAGATGACTCTTATTCTCCGGTGTGTTGATGTTTCAACAACTGTAGCTCAGATAGAAGAATTTTTTCTCACATTCTTGATAGTTGATGATACATCTGGTGAAGGCCTTTTTCGTAAGATTCAGAAAGTGTTGGTTGCTCTTGATTTGAATATTGATGATGTGCGGGGACAAAGATATGATAATGGGTCCAATATGAAGGGAAAACATAAAGGAGTACAAAAGAGATTCCTTGATGTTAATCCACGTGCATTTTATACACCATGTGGTTGTCACAGCCTTAATCTTGCACTTTGTGATATGGCAACGACTTTGAAAAAGCCATTTCGTTTTTTGAGATAATCCAGCGTATTTATTGTCTGTTTGCATCTTCAAATAAACGGTGGGAGAGTCATGTTGAATGCGTTAAGGCAATAAGGTTTCAAGCTCCAAAAATAAGAGATGCTTTAATTTACATAGCAGAAACTTCTGATGATCCAAAAATACAGAGTGATGCTGAGTGTCTTGCGACAAGTGAAACCCATGGGATTGGAAATTATGAATTTTTGTTGTCTATGGTGATCTGGTATAAACTTCTATTTGCTGTTAACACTGTAAGTAAGAGTTTGCAGTCAGAAGACATGAATATTGAAGTGGCTGTTTCTCAGTTGAAAGGACTTGTTACTTTTTTAAAAAAATATAGAGAAACAGGATTTGAGAGTGCAAAATCAGATGTTAGGCAAATAGCAGAATCTATGGAGATTGAAGCCATATTTCCTGAGAAAAGAAAACGTATCAGCAAAAGAAATTTTTTTTTTGACGAGGAATCAGAGACAGTTGACGAAACTGTGAATTTATCTCCTGAAGAGAGCTTTAGAATTTCTTATTTCCTCCAGGTCATGGATCAAGCTCTATTTTCTCTTGAGACAAGATTTGAGCAATTTCAGAAGTATGAACAGACATTTGGTTTCCTATTTGATTTGGAGAAATTGAAGTCAGCAAGTGATGATAGTTTGATGGCATCATGTACCAATCTTGAAGCCTCTTTAAAACATGGGAATCATTCAGATATTATTGGGGATGATTTGTTTTTTGAGCTAACAATTCTAAAAGACTCTTTGCCAAAAGACTTCAAGAGACCCGTTCAAGTGTTGAATTATTTGAAAGGAATGGAAGAGTGTTATCGAAACTCATGGATTGCTTATCAGATATTGCTGACGATTCCAGTTTCAGTTGCCTCGGCTGAAAGAAGTTTTTCAAAGTTGAAGTTGATAAAGTCTTATTTGCGATCAACTATGTCACAAGAAAGATTGAATGGCCTAGCTATCATATTTATAGAAAGAGAACTAGTTAGGGACCTCGATTATGAGAGTTTGGTGAAAGAATTTATTGAAAAAGAAGGAAGAAAGATTATAAATTAATTAGTTTTTTTAGATTAAAGTTTTATTTTTGAATATTATATATAATTTTAAATTATATTATATTTTTTTTTTGGTTAAAAACTTTTTTTTTAATGAAAAAGGCCCCATTTTTCTAGTTTTCCTTAAGTTCCTATAAACCTTCGCACGGCACTGGTACTAGTAAACCCAAATAAAAAAAAATCTAAAGTATGAAAACCGTAAATGACATATAATTATTAAAATATATATCCTAAATAGCTTATAGTGAACCCAAAATGAATAACGTAAACTATGAACCCTAAGAAAAATAAACTAAACCTTGATGAATACTATATAACCATTTGAGGATACTAAACACATATAAGCGATATTAAACCGTTAATGAAAAATATAAAGGACAACAACCGTAAAAAGATATAAATGTAGAAGTCTATATCCTAAATGGGTAATATCATACTCAAATTGAATCATAAAAATATGGTTACCATATAGAATAATCAACTATAAAATTCTAAACCGTAAATTGGTACTAACGAACCCAAATTGACTCACGTAAAATTTGACTACCATATAGAGCAATAGAAATCAAAACTCTAAATAGGTAATAGCGAACCCAAATTGACTAACGTAAACCATAAACCATAAGAAAAAAATACTAAAATTTGATCAATACCTTAGTCTTAAAACATTAAGTTAATTTATTGACAAGTTTTAGAAATATTTTAATTTTTCATCAATTTTTAAGTTAAGTTTTGGATGCTTATTTATTTTTTTTTTAGTATTCATTGATAACTTGGAGTTGTTCTTTTTTTTAGTTGTATATTTTTCATTTATGTTTTTATGATCTAAAAGTAGCAATATTTATAATAAAAAAATAAAAATAAGAAAAAAATTCATCAGAAATTTGGGTGAAAAACAAAAAAACATGGATTTTGTCTTTTGTTTAGAATATGGTCATTTTTTTCAAAATACAATTTTCCCATATTTTAGAAAAGCTATTTTCAAAAAAAATTATTGGAGAATAAATATACTTTTCCAAAATAAAAATATAGAAATGTAGAAATCTATACCCTAAATTGGTAATAGCGAACCCAAATTGAATCACGTAATATGGCTACCATATAGAACAATCAACTACAATCATCTATAGTAAATAACATATAACTATCAAAATTTATACCCTAAATGCATGATAGTGAACCCAAATCGAATAACGTAAACTCTAAACCTTAAAAATAAATAATAAACTTTGATAGATATTATACAAACAATTTAGGATACGAAACACACAAAAGAGATATAAAATCATTAAAGAAAAACATAAATTACAACCATAAAAACATATAAATGTATAAATCTATACCCGAAATGGGTAATAGCGAATCTAAATTGAATAACATAAAATATGGCTACCACATAGAACAATCAACTATAGAAATCTAAACCCTAAATGGATACTAGCGAATCCAAATTGAATAATCTAAACCTAAACCTTAAATAAAATATAAACCTAAACCTAAACCTAAACCCTAAAAATAAATAATAACGTAACCCTAAACCTAAACCATAATCTAAATCTAAATTGAATAACGTAAACCTTAAACCTTAAAAATAAATAGTAAACCTTGATGGATACTATACAACCAATTTAGGATACAAAACACACAAAATAGATATTAAACCGTTAAGGAAAAATATATAATACAACAACCATGAAAATAAAATATAGAAATCTATACCCTAAATGGGTAATAGCGAACCCAAATTGAATCACATAAATATGGGTACTATATAAAACAATCAAATATAGAAATCTAAATACTAAATGGGTACTAGCGAACCCAGATAAAAAAAATTCTAAAGTATCAAAACCGTAAATAACATATAATTATTAAAATCTATACCCTAATAGCTGATAGCGAAAGCAAATTGAATAACGTAAACTGTAAACACTAAGAAACAAATATATCTTGATGAATACTATATAACCATTTGAGGATACTAAACACACAAACACAATATTAAACCGTTTAATCAAAACATAAAGTACAATAACCATAAAAACATTAAAATGTAGAAATCTATACCCTTAATGGGTAATAACAAAGCCAAACTGAATTATAGAAAATATGGCTACCATATAGAATAATCAACTATAAAAATCTAAACCCTAAATTAGTACTAGCGAACCCAAATTGAATCACGTAAAATATGATTACCATATAGAGTAATTAACTATAGAAATCTAAACTCTAAATGGGTAATAGCGAACCCAAATTGACTAACGTAAACTCTAAACCATAAGAAAAATACTAAACTTTGATGAATACCTTATTCTTAAAATATTCAGTTAATTTATTGATAAATTTTAAAAATATTTTTATTTTTCATAAAATTTTAAGTTAAGTTTTGATGGTTTTAATTTTTTATCATTCTTTGATAACTTGGATTGTTTTTTTTTTAATTGTATATTTTGCATTTGTGTTTTTATTATCTAAACGTAACAATATTTATTATAAAAAGAATAATAAGAAAAAAAATCATCAGCAATTTTGGGTGAAAAACCACAATGGATTTTGACTTTTGTTTAGAAAGTGATCATTGTTTTCAAAATACAGTTTTATTTTCAAACATCTTAATTGGATAATAAATATATATTTATGAAAAAACTAAAACGAAAAACTGTTTAAAGAATTTAAAATAATTAAGGTTTAAAGTATATGGAAAAAAAAGAAAGTTATAATAATAAAAAAGGTTAAAAAAGTATGTGGGAAAAGAGAGAAGATAAAAAGAAAGAAAAAAAACATAAAAAACATATTATAATGACATATTTCTAAATAAATTAGAAAATTAGGGCACAATTAAGAAAGTAAACAGTAAAAACTACCTAAAAACTACCTAATCCTGATTTTAAAATTACCCATTTCTTAAATTAAAAACTTAAAAACTACCTATTCAGCAATTTTCTCTTTCGATTTGTGGCTCTCCAGAAGAATAAAAAAGAAAAGAAGAGAGAATTTACAAAAAAAAAAAAGTATTGCATGTTGTAGTGTAGGCCTACAAGAAAACTAAAATAAAAGAATTTGCAGGACATAACATCAA